ATTTAATTTGTTTTAGATTTATTTCTAATAAGATATAAATATATATTGAATTCAATGAATTAATGTTATAAAAGTAGACATACAAAAAAATATACGGCGAAACCGGTAGTTTAAAATCGGACCAAACTGTTAGGTTTAAGTTTGGGGTTTTTTCAAACCGTTCAAAATGGTTTGGTTTAGGTTTGAATTTTTCTCAAACCGGTTTAAAAAGTTTGGTTTGAAAATCTGTTAAAAACTAGTAAAATCAAACCGCTTACACCCCTAGACCTATCCAAGCACAGCCCATCTTCCAAACAAGTTCGATTTACTAATGTTTAGAAAATTGGCTTTGGCGTCAATCCTATAAGAGAGTGTTTCATGGTCGAAGAATTGCATCGAATCAAACTGAATTGAGTTCAAAATTATGGTAAAAATTATTTTTAAAAAAAAAATTCTGGTAATTTACATAAAATCGGATCCTAACTTATCTAATCAAATCCGTCAATGCAATTCCATTTACAAAACAAAATGATTTGTCATGAATAGTAAGGACATAAGAGCCAAACTAACACCGGTGATTAAGATATCATTTCTCTAGAAGAAAATGCATCAACCAAGTTTACGTTGGCAAAACTTAAATTATAATTTAAGCTTGAAAATCTACTTTTTATTTAGTGTCTACTTATTATCCACATATTCTGTTAGACCCATAATTTATAATCACTGAAAATTTTGATTTAAACATTCCAAGCATGCTCTAAATTACATTGTGACAATATCCATCATAATGTATGTCTGAATGGGAAAAAAGGCAATGGAATCAGAAAAATAGTCCATGTAGACATGTACTACACATCTTAAAAGTATCAAAAGGCAATGAAATCAGAACAATAGTACATGTACATATCTTAAAGACTAAACAAGGCCAAAGATACACGGACAATTTTCTAGATGGCCAAAGAATATAAAAATATTCTTGGCTCTTGCGATTTGTGTTACAGTCCTTAAAACTGAAGTTCATAATGCAAACTGTCACAAGGATTATTAGATTCTTCTCTGACCAAACTACATTGACATAGTGGCACATATTGTCCCAACCAGAACTATGCTACTTAATAACCATAGTTGGTGCCATAGTACGAAGAGTAGCCTCCAGTTTGTCCCGCAAGACTAGGATTTGAAGGAGGAGTATATACCGAACCATGAGTTGCATAAGAATTATAGCCTCCTTGGTCAGCAGCAGGAGCGGTCTTTGATTGAGGGGCTGCAGCTTCTGCCATGAAATTCTGCAGTACAAACCATCATAAGTATTTGATGAGTTTGAGCATATTCAGTGCCCTAAAGCAATGATTAAGTAAAACCGCATTATGTCGAGGTAAACATTAAACCATTAGTTTCATCCATTATAGGTTTCACAATGGCCCAACATCAGTTTCTCCTCATTTCTCCTCCTACTCCCCACACCCCAAACCAAAAACAAGAAGGGCCCAATGGGATGCGTTAGGAAGGGCTGTGTTACTTCAGCAGGAGTATTTTATCATAAGCAAACACCTAGCCTTTTGATACGACTCAACTGCAAAGGAGCTAAAATCAAGAGAGAGAGAACATCTTTCAACTAACTTTAGATCTCATGGCTTAGACGTAATCCCAATTAATAAAAGAGCAGCAGCATCTTAGCCAAAGTATACCCTGTATATAATTTATTTCGAAGTATGTAATAAAGACTTGAGTCTATTGGTCAGCTTGAATCCATACTAAGCAACTTCATTCACATGCACGAACAGGAGAGAAGATCAAGGCATAGTTGGGCAATCACATGCATAAAAAATTCTAAAAGGGCCAAACTTAAAAAAATTGATTAAGAAATAGATGCATATGTTAGAATTATCAATTTAAAGCCCGGGTTAACAATATTACCTGAATCAACTGCTGAGCTGTTTGGACTTGAGAAGCAGTTCCAGTAATCTCAACTGTCATCTCCCCAGGAACCCCCCTAGTTTCCTGTATAGTAACTGCAGCACCACTAACCCGCCGTATATAGCTTACATTTGCACCTGCTGTACCAATTACAGCATCAGCATAAGATAGTGAAATCTGCATTTGTTGTGTGACCTGCAAAGTCGCAAAACTCAAATCACTCAAGGAAATGAAACATATACATCATAATCATTTTGTCTTCCACTGTTTCCATATAGTCTTATCCTATAGCACACTTCATAATATTTGTTCTGATGGGCTCAAATGTCCAAATGATTAAATAATTAAATCTGGTTCTAGCTAACCAAAAACACCATTCAGATATCACCACGTAAAAGTATCAATCAAGAATAAAATCAGCACTGCCACAGGCCCAACAACCAAAAAGAAAACACACAAATACTGATTAATGCCAACTGAACCAAGCAATATGAATTAAGACAGTTGAGGGCTCAAACAGATATTTATTGATCCCAACTGTTCTTGCCTAGCACTAAATAGGTACCTGCAACTGTCAAGAGAAAAAGTGAAGATGACTTCAGTTTTCATTTGTCAAGGTAAATATTAAATATGACAAGTTTTGAGCTGATCTAATTACTATGAAGTGATGCTCAGCTAAGCATGGCCATGGCAAGCGATAATTTCCAATCAAAATAGCTAGCGCTCTGCCTTGATAATGATCAGTTAATAGCTGAACATGTAGTTCCTTCAGTTACTGTTAAACCTCATCTGCGTGCAAAAGGAAAATCATACGACACTACGGATAATTTTGCGCAACTTTAAGAAGGATGGAGCTCATTGTTCAGCAGTGCTTTTTGTGTTTGAAGAAATTTCATAACAGGAAAGCTAATTTAAAGCCAATTGTCTCTGCATTTTTTTAGGATTCACCATCACCACTTTAGCCAGCATCACATATCTAGTTGACGTAAGTGCAATTACAACAACAAACTAAGCCTTGTTCCCAATAAATTTGGGTTCAGCTGTACAAAACCTTTTTCACCAATCCATTTGATCCACCATAAATCCATGGCAAGTAATAACGAAATCAGAACTTCTGCAACCACATAAAGCCATGTGAATTATGGCCCTACACCTTCCTCTTCTAACTTGTTCCCAAAGCACCAACTAATCTATTGTATCAATAAATTTAAGAAAGGAAAGGGAGTCTTAAGTTAAAATACACTAAATTAGTTCTTATCAAACAAAATAGGTTGTGGAAATTGACCTGAAAACTCAATCCAGGGCCTAACTTCAACCATAACATAGTTGAGACTTGAGAACTTTGAAAGTATATGCATGCAAGAAACTGCAACAAGCTTTATAAGACTGCCAATTCTGTCAATAAAGCTGTATTTCTCCACTGATTGATTCGACCTCCCTTATCCGACGTGACGAGGAAGAAAAAATTAAGATAAACGAAGAAAAACCGAACCCATGCGAAGAGTGAGGAAGGTGTGAGAAGGTAGGCTTGATCTATGCATAGTCATTCCAAGTCCAGGTGTGTTGGAGATAGTTGTTATAAAATTGATAGAACCTAAAATGGATGAAACGTACTTGGTTTCCCAGGATGAGCGGCGCCTTCTTTATTCCTTCTAATTGTACTATATACTATCTTTACTAAGCCAATCGCCCCTTCTCCTATACTTGGCTGCTTCTCGCTCACCAAAGCGTACTTGGTGTCCCGGGACGAGCGTCGCCTTCTTTATTCCTTCTAATTGGTAAGAAAGCGGTTTTTCCCTCAATTTGGAAGTAGGTTCCGTGAGTCCAAGCCAACAAGAAAAAGCACAGTAAGCAGAGCCGCTGACAATATATAAGGTCACTATTATAGGGAGTTCATGAGTACCTGCAATTTCTTCCTTTTTTACCGGTAAGTATTGTCTAGGCATAATTTACAAGAAACTTATCTAGTAGGGTTTCAAATTCTTTGTTCTTAGCTAAGTTCTATGATGAGATTTTGAAATTTATATATAAACCAATCTCTGCAATTATTTCTGGTTCATATTTGCACAACATAGTAGCATTCATATCAGTCGCAAAGAGGAAGGAAGAACAAGAAGAAGAAGAAGAAGAACCTGAGTGATTATTGATTGCATGGGCTGGTTCGATGATGAATGCACTGGCATTGGCACTTCTCTTCCATAATCTGATATACCCTGATGAGGTTGTTTTTCTGGCAGAGGTGGAATGTCAGCTGAAGGATAATAATTATCGAATTGCCTAGGAGGTGGCATGAAATGAGGGCTGGCTCCATATCCAGGACCTCCAACTGCATTAGGAGGAAAAGCTTGAGGAGGCGGACCCCAAGATTGGGCAGGAGGCATATGTTCCATCTGCGAATTGGGCATTTGCATCTAACAAGAGAAGCAATATATGAGGTTCAGAAATATTTTCGCCTGATTAAAAATCTGACTTGAAACTGGACTTTCTAATGAAAGGCAGGCTTACTTGCATTTCAATTATTGGTATTATGCTGCGGTCAACTAAAAATTTTCTCAGATGACAGGCAATTAATTCAATTGCTTTGTGTATACCTGCCGGCTCTCCTACAACTTCCACAATCCTATCATCTTGAAGGGCAAAAACAGGTAGGTCTTCTGCAATGATTTATGTCAACAGTTGAATGTTACAAGACAAAAGCAAATATTTCACTAACTGCATTTCTATATATCACATTAGCATTTGAATACGATAGTAATTGAACACAGATTTGGCCAAATCTGTCATCTCGTTCAGTAATGAATAATTGATATACAGAGGTAGTTAAAAGTATATACAGAACATATAAGTAAAAAGGCTAAACAGAAAATCTAGGTCAAGATATAGGAACTGAATAAATTTGAATTACATCAACAATATATAGGGCCTGTTTGTTTTTTATTCTCAAATTCTACAGTAAATCAATTCTCATTTTCAACCACACATTTTCCATTAAAATAATATTTTCCATCACATCAATAATTTTTCTTTCTTTTTCAACCACACATTCTCCATCAATCTATTATTCCAAAATAATATCCATCAACCCATTTTAGTAAAAAAAATGTCAACCACACATTTTCCATTAAAATAATATTTTCCATCACATCAATAATTTTTTCTTCTTTTTCAACCACACATTTCTCATCATATCACTATTCAAAAATCAATTTTTCCCCAAAAAATCCTTACCAAACAAGCACATAATATCTAATTTATTCTCTGATTTAATATTTTACTCTGATTCAGCAAATATGCTCCTAATTTTTCGAAATTAATGCATTTTCCTCAAATAAATGCAAGAAGCATTAAAACTAGAAATCTAAGATTTCTTTAGAATTGAGTTTCTTGAAATTAGAGAAGCATAAGAGAACAAGTCATGCAGACTGATCATTAGGATGGAAGGTCCAGTTTCAGATATAATTTAGCGTCCACCATTTCTTTGACGAGATCAGGTCTACCTAGAATCCCCGAAAAAAGGGCTGCATAAGGAAGAGGCCAAAAGGAAGTGTTTGGCCCACATTATTCTCTCATTATAATGAGAATTTCATTTTGGAATAGTAATTTTTTAGAGAATGTGCAGTTAAAAATGAAGAAAAAAATTTGGATTTACTTGTAATATTATTTTTATTGAAGAATGTGTTGATAAGAAAAGAGAGAAAAATGAATTATAATTTAATGGGGGCCAAACAAATGCTTACAGATTTAACCTGTGCTCTTCAGTTAATTTAGTTCATTTGCATCAATTATATAATTTATTCAGTCATTGAAAGTAGCAAATAGACGAAATGAAGATTATAATTCTAAGCATGCTTAAAAACCGTGAAACATTGCACACCATCTTACTCTACTGCTCTACCTCAACAGGGCTCAACTTGCATCCTTTTTGACATTTTTCAACACATTATTCAGATTATCGGTTCTTTTATACCAAATCCACGTAAAGCAAATATCATGGACTGGAAACGATGAAGAATTACAGATTTAAAATCTAGGCTCTTGATGAAAATCAGCAAAGACAATAAAGTTGACTAGAAACAATGAAGAATAGCAAATTCACGTCCTGTGCTCTTGAAGAAATGCAGCAAACGCCAGCTTCAAGAAAACAATACACAGGAAGACCTTCTTTCTACATAAGCAAGTACACAGAAAGCCTTCCGTGACTCTAACAACATGAGAAACTACATAGAGAGCTGCAATACCACCAAGAAGATTATTAAAGGATTGATGTGATCCATGTCTTCATAAAGTAACAAAATAAGAAGATCATCTTAAAAAGGTAAATAATTATACTTGTAATAAATTAAGAATCACAGATATGGACAGTGTGGCAAACATATAAAACTACACAACATTGAGAAGCATAACATCATTTAAAAAAAAAAAAGTACAAAGAAGTGTTACTGTAATCAAAATAACATTTCGATTTATTCAACATTTTCACATTATATACATAATTTCATAAAAAAAAAATTATATGTACATTAATAATTTTAACTTTTCTTTTAAAAATATCAATTACCTTAACAATTTTCAAAAACCGTATTTGTACTTTAAAAATATTACGCATATCATTTATTCGATACACAAGACGCTTACTACTAGTGTCAACAAAATCTGACAAAACCCAGCTAGTTCAAGTGAAAAAATAAAAATTAATACCTTATTTTCGACATGTTAGGAAGTTACAAACTCTTCCTCACCTGACGATGAGTAGATGTCATATGACATTTATGTTTTGTAATACATCGTCAAAATTATTTTTTATTACCTTGATGAAAAACCTTAATACATGAGTTGAACCTATTTACACTCTGTTTGAGTTCCATTTTTTGTAAAAAAAATAATTTTATAATAGTTACTTTTTGGAGAAAGTGTGGTTAAAAAGTAGGGAAAGTTTTGGGATTACATATAAAATTATTTTATTAAAAGAATGTGTGGTTAAAATTAAGTTTGAGGGAAAATGAGTTTTAGGTAATGAGGCTCAAACATGAACTTACATTGATAGAGAAAAATAATATTAAAAACTATAAATTGGTGGAAGTTTTTTGAATTGGAACACTCAAGATGAGATAAAAATAATAGTCGCTAGAAGAGTGAATAGATATCAGGAAGTATTTTAAATCTTTGGTAATTACTATTTGCTTCATCCGTTTCTACAATAAGTCTTCTTCCACTTTTTTCCTCAATAGAACCTAGAAGTTTATTTTATTAAAATATAAAGTTGTGTTTTAACACAGCAAGTGTCATTTAGTGTGTTCACAGCATGTCCAAGATTGGAAAAATAGTAGAGGTATACTGAGCATATGCTCCATGCCAAATCAATTTGATGGGCCATGCGAATGGCTCGTATGGGATTTGTAAGCTACTATTCGGCAACATGAGTTTTAAACATTTTGGGCCAATAGTTTAGACTCAGGACATTGCAAGTCATACCTAGATCACCCACCCTCGTGTGACGGTAATAAGCCTGAGCTTGTGTAATAGGCAGCTCCCAATGATCCATACAGTATCAGAATGGTTAAAGTTCCAATACATGTTTCCAACATTTATTAGAGTACAAAAGTGGATGATAAACTAAGGTGCAACAATGAATACCTCATTCCTCAAATGCCCCTTCAAAAGCTTCTCTGTCTGCCAGTCTCAGAGTGTGAAGAAGATTCTACCACTAGGGTAAATTTCTAAAATCTTAGAAATCCTTTTATTTTTAGCTTTTTGTGAAACAATCAATATTTTGGAAAGTTATGCTATATTTTTATATATAAAATGGGATCATAATTCTAAAAGCAAAAAACTGATATGTTTCTAATCCTTAAAAAATAATTATGTTCCCAGATTTTATTTTATTTTGTTATTTTTCTTCCAATAAAATTTTCACAAATATGAAACAGCAAACTGCACCCGTCGTTTAGGTTAAAATTATGCGAATGGTTTATATGGACATGGGTCCAAGTTCTTATATTGGGAGTCTCTTCACATTTCAATGCTTTTGGAGTGTCTCCATGTTTGATGCCCACTGTAGTGTCTTTGCATGTCATTTATTTTCAGTAGAATGAACATTCTTTTAGTTGATGTCAAATCATGAAGGAGTTTTTATTCCTGCACCTTCAGAGAAAACTCTTTCTAGTAAGAGTCTTCTTGCACATATACAAGAATATGCTATCTCCCTCAAACTATGACTCGATAATTTAGTGCAGTCTCTTCTATTATACATTTTTTGTTTAGATTTAGAGGCTATAGAGGATAAAATTCATGGGGAGGATACTCTGTAGAAAGGAAAGTAAACATTAGAAAATAAAAACTTGATTCTGACTCATTCAATTAGGCAGAAGAAGTTGAATATATATAGAGAGAGATGCAATTCAATCCCCCAATATTAGAACTGCACATAGAAAAGCAGAGGAAAAACCTGATCCAAGAACTCTAACAATACAATTAGACTCTTCCTGAATCGATTTCACTGTTGTGCCTTGTTTTCCTATCAAAAATCCCGCTTGTGCAGCTGGTACAAGTAGCCTTGTTGATACCTTGCTCCCTACACCTGCTGGAGCATGAGAAGAATCATTGTCCAGCCCATCCAAAACCTGTTTGTGAACCCTAAGTAGACCATCTATCGCAGATGGAAGTGAAACATCAGGGTCTTCCTTGGCAGATACCATAACCTATACAGAAGAAGAAAAAAATATATATATATATCAATGTTACAAACCCTTCCATAAATGAATTCAAATAAACAAGAGAAGAGGCCCCTTTTGTAAGAATGATCAGAAAAATTTAAACAGTACTAGGATGCATAAAAATGCAGGGCAGAGATCAACAAGAGGAAAAAAATGTTGTGTTTTACAAGTACAATTTTGTCTCATTAAAATAAGTAAAGGAAAGAAAAAAAAATGCATCTAACAGGAGAGATTGAAGGATTGGATAGGTATTTCTGTCAAGACATTCTAAGTTGGGAAGGGATATGGAGATAATTTCATCTGAGTTAAAATTGAAAATTAATGAAATCACCATAGTGGAAGGTGAAACTCGTAATTCTGCGCAAAACACAAAATGGTGTTAAGACGGATTTCAAACAAAATTAAAATGTATAGCATATACACAGTTTCACCAGGGCAGGTGACAAATAGATGTTTTGAGATGATTTATTGAATACTCTTATGCATTGTAAGACCATATGAGGCGGCTTCACTAATATGTTTACATAACGAACTGAATCATGGCACCTTTGAGGGACATTACCAAGGTTGTCGAATCCCTTAGTAATACAAGTAGTTAAAAAAGCCCATGTTTCCAAAGCCAAGGTCATATCTGCCCTAGTCTCATGAAAACATTCACCAGAAAATAGGACTTCCATTTTATTCACTTGACAAAGAAGCGACTTGTGCCACAGGTACAGTGGCATGCAAAGCTCCAATTGGAACACATATAGATGCCACCTAGCCTCGTGTAGAAAATAAGCAAAATACCGATTTTTAATCAATGGCATTAGTATTGTAAAACTGGTTGGAAATTGATATCAAGAAAATGAAAGAAGCAAAAGTGCCAAAAGTACACTAGGAAATAAATGCAAAGTCGTAAATCCATCTTTTAAAAGTAGAAAGCATGAAGCAAAGCATTTCATGTTTCATGGACCAATGCTTAAGCGCTAACACCATTGGAATTAATTCCCATAGACCATAACTGTCACATTGCTTATATTTTTTCGCGCACTCTTGCAAACTCATGCATGAATTAAAAATAAATGGTAAACAAATACTACAAAGCAGAAATATATATTACAGTACACAACTGTTTAGTTGGTATTTCCCTAAACACGTGTATGGACTCAGTTCAATCTATGGCTATTAAACAGTTTACTGCAGCTGATATAAAATGCATACCAACTACAACTGGAAAGATGTAAAATGAAGATTTATGCCAATAAACTAATATCTAGATTATCCTATCAAAAGAACAAGGACTGGAGAAGCAGAAGCTCAAAAGTACGAGCTCCCAGCTCAAACACTAAATTGAACTTGCAAAACTACTAATAACAGGCAAGGATGCTTGACACATGTTGCAACAACTGAAATGTCAAAATCAAAGAGAGAATAGAGACTGAAAAAACAATAAGTACTAATAGATTCCGTACTACTAGCCAGCCAACAAAAAATCCACAGTAATATGTTAAGTCACAGAAATAAAATTTCACTTACAGCTCTTTCTCTCATCCCTGGAGGACCATCAAGAACCTTAATCCGAGCTTTTGTCTCTTCACATGTTTTCTTAATGTACTCTCCCTTACGTCCAATTATACTGCCAACCTTTTGTGCAGGCACCAAAATCCTGAAAACACTCTCCCCAGGCCATCCAGGCCATTTCTCACCCTCTGCAGCAACCGAATCACCTCCAAGGTCCAGTTTATTTTCTGGATGTGAGTTATCCAGTATTCCATCTTTGCATTCATGTTCATGTTCATGTACATCCACATCTTCATGTTCTATTTGTTGTACTTGCTCTTGCACTTGCTCCTGCACTTGCTCTTGCTCTTGCTCCTGCTCCTGCTCCTGCTCCTGCTCCTTCTCGTGCTCCTGCTCCTGCTCCTGCTCTTGCTCCTGCTCGTGCTCGTGCTCGTGCTCAATAAAACTCTGATCAAGTTCTGCCATGCTGAAAAATATAAATGTCTGTAAAATAATTCTGCTCAAAAGCAGAGTCCAAATTAAATATCCACAAGGTAATACATCACCAGTTCCCAATCATCCTTACGAAAACAATCAAAATTGGATATGAAGTAGTTAAATTTTTTGCACTAGAAAGAAATGCAACAGTACCCACTTTATGAGGTCATCTACTAAGAGACAAGCAGGCAAGGAATCATATGAATGGAAATATCTGTTACTGACTAACATATGATATGAACCAAGAAAGAGAATGAAAACACAGAAAGTTTGCTTTAAGTTGATAGGCTGAGAAGGTTTTCCCTGTAAACAGTTTATCATTAGCATGACACGAGTAAAACCAGGAATTCCTTTTGATGCAGTCAACCTGTCAGATAATCAGCTGTAAAATTTGGAACTACACATACATGTAATGCACTATAAAAATAGAGCAGGGATCTATCATTTTTGTTAATAGAAGAAATATGTTAAAGAATGTTATGATATCTCCAACTTAGTATTTTGTCGTATATATATCTCAAAAGCATAAGGAGATAACTGTAAACGTTATTGTTTCAATATACTTCATATTTTCCAAAATGCATCGTATATTTTTAAAAAATAAAGAAGGGAAGAGATGTAGTAAAAAATTATAACTACCACCTCATTACAATATATCAATTTTCATTAAAATCAGCACATTTTTCTATAAAATAAAATTGACTGATTTTGTAAAGGACACGAGGAAAGCTGTATATCCTACGCAGTGGGCATGCAGGGGATTTAATATAAATAACTTGTAAAAAATATTTTAATACAACTTTAAAAAATAAAAATAACATAAAGTTGCAATTTGAATATGATGTTAGTGAATTTCAAGGTCATCCTTTGCAGAGCTCTTGCAGCAATCGAAAGTTGAAAAAATGACACAATTTCTTGAATGAAGAGAAAGATGAGAGAGGGAAAAGAGATATTCTGGGATATGAAGTTCTTTAATTGGTCTTGCCCTTTTTCTTCACTGCGTGATAAAAAATAAATTAATTAATTAAATTAAAAAATTCGTGATTGCAAAGAAGATATATTCCAAGTTTCAATTTACTCACAGTGCAAGAATTCCTAGAACCAGTTTATAAGCAATTACTAAAGATTGCCAACAATAAAATCTTTTATGTACAGCAATTTTCCATGATTTAATCAATTCTCTAACAATTGGAAATAACGAGTACTAGCCTGAACCTTCAAATGGGGGAAAAACATAGACTGGAGGACATAGAAGACAAATGCAAAGAAAGCTAGAGTGCCTAGTGACCCATAGAACTTGAGGAAAAAATGAGTTAATTCAATAGCTCAGTTAGATTTCACTGTACAAAACTAAAAACAGTGCTTAAAATTCAGACCTGAAAAACCAATTCGAAAAAGAAAGAAGACAAATTTTATCCGGACTGCGTACTTCGTCAGAAACCCATTAAACAAAACACAGTAATCAGCTTAGTAAGCAAGAAGAGATACAATAATTGTCAAACATTACTTCACACTAAAACCCATTAGTGAATTGAAGATTTGGAGCCTAACAAAAGGTAAAAACACATAAAGTAAAGAACCAAATAGCAGTGAAAGAGATTTGTGTAGTTACATTAATGGGCGGAGAGAGAGAGAAAGAGCACCGCTAGTGTATAGCAGAGTGAGAGTAGATAACTGGTTCCTGTTCGTTCTGCGATGTATCTATTAGGTTTTGGGAGATTTTCAAATTTATTATTTTAATGAAGAGAGCGCCCGAACGAAGGAATCGCTAATTAAAATGAATGAACACTCGTGTGTTCTTACATGCTCTCTTTTTTATTTAAAATTAAAAAATAAAAGTTAATAGTTAAAAAAATTGATAAAAATTATAAATCTCGTGATTGAAAAAATAAATTTTAGAAAATGGATATCATATTTGATTTTGTTAAAATTAATATTTTTAGTAGATTCTGATAAAAAAAAATTGTCTGATTTCATGTAATAAAATTAATTGTTGATTTTGACTTGAACTATTTTATCAAATTTTTTAACTTAACCAGAGGCCTATATTTGTAGAAATGAATTGATTGCACCATCTTCGTATATCGTCATCATCGTCACCACCATTTATTGATTTACATAATCGGAGTCAAAACCATGAATGGGAGACGCAACCACGTTCCCTTCATGGAATAGAATCTCTACTACCTCTTATCAAAAGAGTTGGGTGGCCGATCTTAGGTTATTTTTCGTTGTTTATGCCCTTTTTATCTATAGATCATATCTTATAGACAATGTGCTTCTTGGGCTTATAGTTGAGTAAAGTCCATTTTGCATAATTGTTTTTTTGAATAAAACTATGTGCAAAATTACGTGCGATATTATGCTGATTATCATCAAATTATACCTGATTTAAAAATTAATTACATGGAATTGACCAAATTGGGCATCCCTTCATACCCATATTTAAACTTTGAGTTTACAAGAATTTAATTGCTGTTGTCCTGAATTTAGAGGGAATAGAAATCAAAAGTGATTTTGAACTGAAACTAACACATGATCTAACTAAATGATTTATTCTTCCAAGAATGCGGCTTGTGAATATGTCCTATTAGGCTATTTGTTTAATGTGGAAGATGCTACAAGTATAGAGGCTGTTTTTACAGGCCCCTGACAGACAACACATATGGGGGGTGGGGTCATAATTTTCTTTTAAATGAAGAAGTGGGGCCCCGACTCTGTAGTGAGTGGCATGTAAGGCCCTCTGAAAATGAAGCTTGTACTTGGAGCATAATCCGTTTAATATTGTTACCAATTGCAAAGAACTTCAATATCTAGATGTTATATGTTACCTTTAAATTGCTAAGATATCTTCAAAAACGATAGCTAATATCCTCTATGATTAAGCTTTTGGATGAGATTTAATTGTTGATCAATTGTTTGATCTAATTCTCCAATGAAATCTCGAAGCAAACTTGCAGAGTTTGCTAGTAGTATTCCTCGTCATATAAGTTAACAATGTCAATTTAGTATCCCTCGTCCTAAAATGACATTGTTACCGACCAAATCTCTCATCTCTTTAGTACTTTGGACAGTTGAAATATCATTTTGTAAGATGGATATGGCACGATGAATTGATTTATTTTTAAAAGGCTACATATTTCTCGTTGTTTTATAATCTTTAGATCTACATATTGGAAATAAATTGCAACTCGAATATAAGTTTTATGAATCTAAAAGTGCTCGTGTGAGACAAGGACCGGTTCCTCTTTGCGGCCGTCACATTTCTTGTACAATGAATTTTGCATTCGTTGAGACTATCATGAGAGATAATTTACAAGCACACTATTTCTATACCAAAAAATGAATGAAGCAAGCAAGCGCCCACGGCTTCTTGCGAGTTTTGTTGGTGGATGTGTATGTAGGCGTTTTCCGTGTTGTCATATCACGTAATGCCGATAATCTTGTCTCTGTCCTCAACAATGTCGTGTGACTTTTCACTAAAAGGTCTTATTGAAAAAGTGAAAAGTAACAATATGATTATAGGGATAATTTTTTCTTCTCTTTTCTATTTTGTTTTCAAATTTTAAATTAATTTTCTGCATGAAATATATGTTACAATTTTATTGAAAATATCATGAATTCTTTAATTATTTCAAATGTATGCCTGGCTAAAGTTTTGTTGGAGTGTGCTCAAGTTTGAACTGACTAAGCCCTGTCATTATTTTTTAAATTCATTTTTAATCACACATTCTTCAAATAAATTATTTTGCACGTGAATTCATAATTTTTTTTCTTATTATTTAACCACACGTTCTCAAAGTAATCACTTTTCATAAAATTAATTCTCAAAAATAAAAATCCTACAAACGCTAAAACTTTTACAACTAGCTTTAATGGGGCTTCGCTTTTCTTTCTATTTTTCTACTTATTTATAGATCTATGTATCTCTTAGACTTGACTTCATTATGAGTTGAGATCTGCTGTCCAATTTGCAGTTCACCAATGATTCATTGATACATTATTTTATACATATCTTCAAGCACAAGTGACAGTGAGAAAAAATAGATTAATTTAAGTGACGTGTCAATTAATCATTTATCAAAAACATGTTGGATAGTCAATCATTAGTTGATGGATTTTCTTTTGGAGTAAAAAGGGCTCGTTGGATAATTTCCTCTCTAGTCCTTGCTTTATTCTGCATGAAATAAATACAAGCATATAATATGGAGTTACATTTTTATAGCGTGCAAGAAATCTCTACAACTTTAACTCATTCTTGACTTCTTTTCATCTCTACTCTCCTAAAATGTTATCCTTCGCTACGCAAAACACAACATTGAGTATACTTGTCTTACTGAAGTTTTATGTTCAAAGTGCCCTAATATCGTATTCTTATGCCTTGCAAGGCTATATACAACGTCAACAAATGATCCAAAATTTCTTAATCGTTTCATATTTCGTCGATTGTGTACTCATCAAATACTCAATAGAGCTGTTGATTAAATGATAAATTTCAAATTATTTGCTTCCTGAATATCTAATGAATATTACAAGGTTTACTTCTTTGTCAGAGTAGGTTTGCCCAGAATCATACACAAAGGAACCCACATATTTTTTATACTTTAAAAATATTTCATCACATAACCCCACTTCAATCTCACACTAATGGACCAACTATTACGAAAAATTAAAAATTAAAAATCAACAAATATAACCAACAAGAAACAAATCCTCCCTCAAGGTGTGATGTCTAGTGAGAGTTTACCGACTAAAAACGGAAAATGTTAGATAGGCACTTTGTGGAACAACGCTAATTTTAACTACATATTATGGGATCCACAATTTTTTAACACACATTTCATTAACTTTTATCAAAATTTATTAAATATTTAATTTTAATCTGTCCCAAACAGGGACATAATATTGAGTTTCCATGCTCGCTTTCCTCTAACCACGAGTGGTATACTATGGTACGATGATCGAGATATGTGTTCAATCCTTTTCTAGGTCGTATCCATTTAGAGCTAGACTAATGGTTCGTTTGATTGGCAAATGTGGAAAGGTTTTCCAATTTTATGTAAGTTGGAAAATAAAAACTCAAGTTCCCCATATGAATACATTTTCCATGAAATTAAAAAAAAAAAAAAAAGTTTAAAAGTGGTTGTAACTTAAAATTCGAATTTCATTTCCATTTTCGTATCAAACAGTCGAAGCAGAAATTGAATTCCTCGAATATGATATTTTTCATGAAATTTAAACCAATCAAATGGACCCTAAATGACCGTTCTAAATTTTCTTTTGGCGTCTATGGTGTTGAGAGAGAGGGGAAAACAAAAAGAAGTACCAAAGAAATAAATGAAAGTGTTTTTATTGATTAGACCGGGATGCCAGCGAATAGAAAGAAAGAAAATTGCCGTTTGACTCAATTTTTCTAGCCACAAAAAATATGGCCGTTGGAACTGAACTACTCCTAGCAGTAAATAATTTTGACCGTTGCCTTTCTAAACTAAATTTTTTTTAAAAAATTAAATTATTTACCTATAAATAGTTAAATGCACTTTTTCATCAACCACTGCTCTCCGCTTTCAATACTGTAAAGAATTCAAAACTATTACATCAATTTGTTTATACAGTAAATTTACTTTATTATTTCATCTCCACAATATAGATCCGAGATCTTCCATCGATAATTCACATTCTGATGATGATTCCGTTTCATTCAATTCTAGTTCGACTCGACCCATTCGCCCGACCCAAGAGAAAATGAGAGAAGGATTATCGAGGTTCGTAGTTGCGAACAGATTACCCTTTCAATTTGCAGAAGGTATCCAGTTCGACGATTTTGCGCAAATGTACGCTCAGCGTTACGTCAAAAAATTCTCAAGCGACACTCATAAATCTTATTGTTTCAAACTTTTTAATGAAATGCGAGAAAATCTAAAACTGGAATTTAGTAATTATAAAGGTAATATTTCTATTTCGTGTGATTTATGGACCGGAAATAACCAGAAATGTTATATTTTTGTTACTGCTCATTACATTGATTCTGATTGGATTCTGCAGAAAAGAATAATTGCGGTTAGGATGTTGGAATATCCGCTTAAATCTGACCATATTTTTAATTATTTAATGGAGGTTTTTAATGAATTTGGAGTGTTAAATAAAATATTTACAATCGCTTTCGTTAATGTGTCTGCGTGCGATGATGTGATTGACATGCTTGTTAAGTTTTTATTGGTTAATACAACTTTTAATTATAATCCAATGAGGAATTTAAAATTGATAATGAGAGCATTTTGGTCAGAAATTTTGGATATTTTTTCAAATGACTATGTAAAAGTGGATTTTTTTTTTTTTTGCAATTTCCTCTATATTTATTTACGAGATGTAATTCAAAATACATATTTGACATAGAGAAATAAATAACGTTGGACGGGTCTCAAAATAACATTGCGTGCTAGACGTGTATCAACATCACAAGAATTGACAAGGAACGGGTTAAGGGGGATTGATATTCCTTGCCTTCATCACCTACCAAATATAGAATGCTTGAGGTTCAAGTGTGGAGTTAAATAATGTGAGCAAGAACGCGTATTTCATGAACAAAAATGCACTAATACATGCGTAACGTATACAACTTTTATACTATACACCAAAACCTCGTACGTGGAAAGAGAATAAATTGTCTCTTGTCTTGCATTGTATTACATCACCCTCTTCACGACTTCGAGGTATGGGCAAGGCCCCTTATGGTAATGTATGGCCCTATCAAAGTTTAGAGTGCATTCATTATTTTATATATATATATATTGTTGTTTAATGAAATTGAAATGCATATTTCGTTTTTGTTTCTTTGTCGGATCCTATCGCCATACAAATTATTGATAATCATGACTCTAAATGAATATCATTACTTTCAAACTTTTTGTATATTCGTTTAGTAATTATATCTGAATATTCAATTCACTATATTTGTATTGTTATGCATAAAAATCTTCAACACAATTGGATAATGATGATGGAGGATGGTGCTAGTGGTCAAGATAATGATAAAAAAAGACAAAAAAAAAAAAAAAAA